CAATAGCTCATGGTGTGGCCCCTCAAGTAAACCACCTGCTTCGGTTCGGGAATCCGGATAGTATGCCAGCCCTCACACAAATCGAATTATTTATGTGGCACATTTTTATTTGGTACCTTCTTCTACCAATGTTTATGTGTTTGAATAAATAAGTAAAATATATCTGTGATTTTCAACGGTACCCTTATTGAGATCGATTTGTGACTAGTAAAATCCAAAACTTAAGTAAATATACATAAATTTCATTCAACTAAAATAAAATTATCTTGCATGTAAAGTTTTATGCTGAGACTTTGATCGATACTCTATTAAGCAAAAGGAATAATAAATACAGCTTTTCGAAAGAAAACTTTATATAAATTATCATAAAACAATAATGTACTCAGTAATATTAAGTATACACCATTACAATAACTGAGCTCATCATTCAATTGAAGCCATACCCCCATGGAAAACCTGAAAGCACTGGACGACCGTCTCGTCCTGTTATGGAACTCCTCACTAGTGTACATACACGATCCCGCCTCGCGAGATTCAAACCCAGGATCAATCAGTCTCAATTGCGAACTCTTAACCTCTAGACCATTGAGCTGGCCGTCATCCAATGGCATTAATTTCCAACTTCAACTAATCCACGAAATTGAGCAACACAGTGATTTACTATCTCATAACAGACTTGGTTGAACTCCACTAATCACTGCTTGTCACTAGAACTGTAGCAAATACCTTTTGAAGCCAGTCACTAGTGAGCATATGTTGATTAAGTATCAGAAGGGGTTTTGTAGAGATTGTAGTAATTTCAATTGACTCATGATCTCAACTATTGAAATTACTACAATCTCAACAAAACCCCCATCCGATATACACCATTAATATGACCCTAAATTACAAATGAAATAAAAATATTTCATTAAAACCAATAATTAAGCTTTAATAACCAATGGAAACATAATTAAACAATAACTGCGAACTTTGTCTCAAAATGGTAATAATATATTATTATGTTATTCTAAATGTGACACTTAATGAACTAACTTTTAGAATTAGACAGTACACAATGTTACTTATTATCATGTAACTAATTTGTGTAAAACTATTTACAATCAAATGAAAGTATCATTATGTGTTATTTTGAATATTAACTATATTACAATTAATTAATTAAACCATTAAATGCCATTTATGTCTCATTATTGATTAGTTCAATTATCATTACACACTTTATAATCACATTCTGTCATTTCTTTTTCTAAACAAACTATCCTGAATTAATTACTGCACAATATATATATACAATGTAATTTGAAACTAACTATGTATATATATGCACTTAAATAAAGACTATAGTGCTATTATTCATAAAATGTGTTTGTTCACTAACGAATAATAAAGTATAATGTTAGAAATAATAATAATAATAGTAATCATTGTGTGCTATGAAAACATGACTGTACATTACACTAGAAAGATAAACATAAAAATGATTCGAGGGTATATATATATGTGCTAATATAGAGATTATACAACATTGGACGAGTAAACCAGGATGAAGATGACCTCATCTAGTTTCTCATGGAAAATTCACGTTAATTTTCCTTATGGTTAAACGTTCAGTAAAAGCTATCCGCTTATTTAAAGGTGGAATCATTTAAAATTGAGAGAAACTATCCAATATCTCATTATAAACTGATAATCATATGATTCCAAAGATAAATTGTATAAAAGACGTTTTGTTTTTCTAATGTTTGGTATTACTACGACTCTATAGTTCACTCAACTCTTCTCAAATCAAGACAATAATTGTGACCAACTAAAGGTATATTTCAAAAACCTGAACAATAAAGATACTGTGGTAGGAACATTAAAATTTATATACAATTCACACAGGAATCTTCTAGTGTGCTCTTGACTCATTCTCTAACACTGATTGGTTCAGGATGGCCCACCCAGAACACTACGATATGAACCAGATTAGTGCATGAAATAGTTAGAATTATGTCATGTTGACAAGAGGATACCCGTCCAAAAACATATTTTACACAGAATAGTACCCAACAAAAATTCGTTCTGTTTTTTCATCTATTCAAGGTAAGCTCTCAACTAAGTAATGTCATTACAGATAAATTATACAATAGGCACATATATTGATAGGACGGTTCGAAAGATCACAGTGTTAATCATATGATTTTCAGTTGAAAAGCTAACATTGTTATTTTTTCAAACATTCGGTTAGCCTTCACGCAAAAACTGATAAAACTATGAGACGTTATTATAATACACAATGCATCCTAAAGACCCAAATATAAACCGTTATTTTCTCGAATGAGTCTTTGTAGTGAAAATGATCTAGTTAAGGATAGAACAAACCAGTTGTGTATCTTGAAAAAATCATTAGCCACGTAAAACCACCGTAAACAGCTTAAACCTGAGCTGTCACAATGGTCTGAAGGTTAAGTATTCGCGCGCGAGACAGAAGTTTCTGGATTCAACACTTGTTGATGGGATTGTATAAGCGTACTGTTGAGGAGTCCTATACTTGGACAAATAAGCTGTCCGGTGTTTTCAGATTTGAAATAATTGTCTAACTTACATCGGTCCTTTGTCTCAACAGTCTCGATACTAAATTAAGGATAGATCTGTAGTTTTTTAATCTGTACATCTATTTGCTAGTAAAAGGCATACCAATTACGAAGTCACGTCTAGAAATACTAAAGATTGCCAGTATACCGTAGTTTTGCAGTAATTTTTATTGGTAACTTCCAAAAAGCTTTGTTCACTCTATCGGTCTACGAAACACATAGTAGACAAACTTTAGGAACAAAGTTGTTTAAAACATGGTTTATCAAAATTTAATAAAGCATTTATGTTTAAGTTACCGATTGAAAGAAGAGAGTTCTTTTGATCGTTGATAAGCGATTCAAAGAGAATGGTTTTTTACAGACTTCTCTGAAAGTTTTATAAATTAGAGATTTTATAGGTTAATAAATGAATGTTCGATTGTTAAATTAGCAAGAGGAATGATGATCAATCGATGACGTGCGATGATACCCTATGAGCAAGTAATGACCCCAAATGCCCTGGTACGGTCGAGAGTGGGGAGAGTCCGATCTCCCACTCAAAATGCTCTCACATGTCCACGCGTATATAGCCTCTGTCAGGGAAATCCTGCTCATTGCCTCCTCGTGGCACTACTGTTGTTTACGAAATTGAGAGGACGAAAAGAGAATGTCCGGCGCTTTAACCGGGTTGTTGGACATGAAGAGTCCAACTAGGGGAGTTGGAAAACCCTGATTCCAAACCAATAGTGTACATGGGCTCCAGTATCCTGAAGGAAAAAATGGCATACGAACCAGTTATTGGTCATCGGCTGCCATGGGATTGCATCTCCTAACGTTGCTACACTACCTTATGGATTAGATCTGTAGGTCAAAGGGTCGGAAAGTGGCCCCCCTAAGAAAACCACCTGCTTCGGTCTGGGCACCCATGTAGTATCACAGCCCTCACACATATCAAATGGGATCTCTGTGGCGCATATGTATTTGGTGCCTCCATGTACCAATATATATGTGTTAAAATAAATAAATAAATAAATGAGCAAGTAATTACTGCTCACCTCATGGTATTATCGATATAAGTCTTAGAGTAATTTGAAATCAAAATCAAGAGCATCAACCAGAAGAAAAGTATTTTCTATAACAAATGGTAAGTATTAACACAAAAAAAAACAAGATATGATAGGCAATTAGAGGAAACTGGTTCGTATGTAAGCCACTCTCCAATTAATTAAGACCTGATTTTGTTATTTGTAATGGCTATCCGTCATATAAAAATGTAATTCTAGTGGACAAGGTGATGATCATTCCTAGTCATTTAAACTATAAAATATGATGATATTAAAAGAATAATTGTCAACATAATAAAGAAAGCAAAAAGCAGAAGCTATTTTGTCTATCGACTTAGTTTCTTAGTACAGGAAAATATATATTCAACAGGTGATGTCTTTTCCAATTTACTCCAGCTACTTGCATCAAGTCGAAAATGTACCTATTAAACCATTTACATTAGAAAAACAAATACATAGATCATGTATAGAGAAACCTCAAGCGATACACATCTTCAACGGCAAAGTATGATCGCCAACTAACTGGCAATAAAACGTACAGTAGGAATTCTTTGAAATCTTCCATGAAAACGACAATGTGGGATAATTCAAGTTTTCATGGATTTTTTAGACTATAATTGTCAAATCACATAATAAACTCACGTTGAGTTATTGATAAAAATCAGATGTGGCTACTCTTCCATTGAACTAATCGTAGCCGCATCTCAGACCGACTGATTCACATCCTGGCATAAGCAATTTGTAGCTCAGATGGATTCTTATGGTGTTGTTGTTATCTATGAGTTGAACACTTTAGTCTTGAACCATTCATTTCTATTCTTAATAACACTACCATTACATTATTCAAGTAGAAATGTCTTGTATAATTATATTTTATGGTTTATTCATCTTTGTAGATTCCATTTGTAGTTTTGTTTTGTTTAACTTATTCTCTCTCAAACCTACAACAAACCATAGTTGTATAAAACAGATACGTTTTACAACTAATCACGTCACTTGTGACGAGTCTCGCGACACATTTATTTCAAAATCTTTACAAGATCTTGATATATGTCACTTAACAAAGATGATATAATCTACAAACATATCAAGCCACATAAAAGGTTGTGAAAACAGGTTGATCCAGTAATTATAGGATAATTTTGCTCTATTTGAAGCGGGAACTATTGATACATTGTTAAGAGGTTGTGGCAAGCCCATTTGGCCACTGTATCATCTGTCTATTCATTGTAACTTAGACTCTTAATTCACTATGTTAATTTCGGTGTGTTTGATCGAATGCGTGTCTGTACATTAACTTTTAAACTATTTTCCTATTGGTTTCAACGTGCAGATAATCGATAATTTATCTACACCCGATTAACCCTCAAATATATATGGATTTTTAACAAACTCACTCACTCTCTCTGTTCCCATCGTGTGCTTGCTCACAATACGCTTGTGGATTATCATTATTCATTAATAATAAACTATCTCCATAACTGGTGTTCAGGCTTCTTAATAATCTCGAGTAAATCCATAATTCTACTAGGAGATTAAGCCTACCTTAAATACTCAGTTACGGAATATTATTATTTGGAGTCAGATATTAAGGACATTACCCTTAACATATTGGTTAGCTGCCGCCTCAACATATTGGTGAACCGCTTTTAGAACACACACCATTCCTCTACGAATTCTGCTGCATACTCTCCAAGCGTATCATAAATAACTTCATATTGGAATTATTATTACAATTATTAACAATTCATTAACAGTCATAATAAATCCATCCATAACATTGTTCCTTTGGAATTATTACTGTATATTCTCATACATATACCAAAAGTGACAGTTTTTCTTTTTGGTGAGTCTTATATATATATTTTTTGTTATTTTTTATTTCTCTTCATATTGTATATTACAATCCTCAGCTTATTATTACTATTGCTTTTTCGTATCATGGCACTTGATAATTCGTTAAGCCTTTCATCTAAATCTATTTCCGTGGGTGCCATCTCTGTACCTTTACCCATTTTTAATCCACGAAAGGCTGAACTCTGGTTTGCTCGTTTGGAAAGCTTTTTTGTAGCAAACAAAATCACAAACCAGAGTACGAAATTTAGTTATGCAAATTCACTGCTGCCAGATGACGTCATTGAACAAGTGCCGGATGTCATTTTTAAGCCGGATCCTGACTCACCATTCGATTGTCTAAAAAGAGAGGTCATTCGTGTCACATCTCTCACCGACCAACAGACAATTGATCAACTTTTAGCCAACGTGGAGCTAGGTGACAATACACCGTCACAGTTAAAACGCCACATGACAAACTTATTAGGAAATCGTACAGTAGACAAACGTCTACTATATCAATTGTGGCTCAGACGTCTCCCTCAAAACATTCAACAGATACTAGCAATTGGAGACGAAGACGTTGATTTTGATAGACTAGCAGACATAGCCGACAGAATTTACGAACGGTCCAAGACTCACCTTGTATCTCAAATCCAATCAAGCTCAGCTGACGAGATCGCCGAGTTACGACGATCAGTTGATACCCTTACGAAACAGATAGCTCAGATCCAATTATTGAATGCCTCCCACAGCAAGCGTAGAGGAACATCCACAAGCCGTAGACGACGTAGTCCAAGCACTACTAGACACAACATTTGCTGGTACCATAGAACATATGGCAAACAAGCTAGAAAATGTACTCCGCCTTGTAACTTTGCAAGCACACAGAAAAAGGAACGTCAAGACCGTAGGTTAATGACGACTGCACTCACTGACCACAACTTTCAAGACAGTCGTCTATTATATGTTACAGACAAAAGAACCGGCACACAGTTTTTAGTCGACACTGGGGCAGAGGTTAGTGTAGTACCACCTACTGCACTCGAGAAAAACACACCTGACCCCAAACTAAAACTACAAGCAGCAAACAGGTCTGACATCAAGACGTACGGCAAAAGGCGGTTGCAATTAAATTTCGGTCCTAAATCTAATTTTTCCTGGAGTTTCATCATAGCGGACGTCCTCGTTCCTATAATCGGCATTGATTTTCTGCAATTCCACAAAATACTGGTAGATGTCAGAAATAGGAAACTTGTCCTTGCCGAACAGAGTAAGGAAATTAGAGGAATTATATCAAATGAGACTTCCATACATTTATTAGTTAAACCTCATCATGAGAACGACAAATACGTCAATTTACTTAATCAGTTTCCAGATTTATTACGACCGAGTTTCAAACACGACAAACCGACGCATACCGTCGTACACCACATAAAGACAGAGGGTCCACCTGTGTTCGCACGTCCAAGACGCCTTGATCCCTCTCGTCTGGCTATCGCAAAGAACGAATTCAACAAAATGATTGAGTTGGGCATCATACGCCCCTCCGATAGTCCGTGGGCATCACCGCTTCATATGGTACCTAAGAAAAACTCTTCCGAAGTTAGACCGTGCGGTGACTATAGAGCTCTCAACAGCCGGACCATACCAGATAGATATCCTCTCCCACATCTGCATGACTTCACTCATAGCCTGTCTGACGTGTCGATCTTTTCAAAAATTGATCTCGTCCGTGCTTACCATCACATTCCAATTCATCCAGACGATGTTCCTAAAACAGCCATTACTACCCCCTTTGGACTATACGAATTCGTCCGCATGCCTTTCGGATTAAGGAATGCTGCACAAAGTTTCCAGCGTTTTATTGACCAAGTGGTACGGGGCTTACCGTTTGTGTATGCTTACATAGATGACCTACTTATAGCAAGCAAAGATGAAAATGAACATCTAACTCATCTGAAAATGCTTTTTGAGAAGCTAAACGAGTATGGGTTAGCGGTCAATCCTGACAAATGTGAGTTCGGAAAACAATCCCTCACCTTTTTAGGTCACGTACTTGATAAGCAAGGCATTAAACCAGTTCCTGAGGAAACACAAGCTATCAAAAATTATCCTTTGCCTGATTCATTCAAGAAACTACGACGTTTCCTTGGGATGATAAACTTTTACAGACGCTTTATCCCTAAATGCGCAGACATAGCAAAACCACTAACTGATTTATTAAGGGGACGAGCTAAATCATTAGCAATGACACCGCAAGCAATTCAAGCATTTGATCAGTTGAAAAGCGCTTTAAGCACAGAGGCATTACTCGCACGACGAAAGGTTGATGCACCTTTAGCAATAATGACCGACGCTTCTAACGTAGCAGTAGGTGCTGTACTTCAGCAACGTGTCAATGAACAATGGCAACCCCTTGCATTTTTCTCAAAAAAGCTAAACGCAACGCAAACGAAATATAGCACATTCGGTAGAGAACTGTTGGCTATCTACTTAGCCATCAAACACTTTCGCTATATGTTAGAAGGCAATTCTTTCACGATATATACTGATCACAAACCCCTAACTAAGTCCTTGATGCACAATCATGATAAATATAGTCCGCGCGAAATTCGTCAACTAGAATTCATTTCACAATTTGCAGCTGATATACGCTATATTAAAGGCAATGCAAATGAGGCAGCAGATGCACTATCGAGATTAAATATCAATACCTTCTCGATCCCTGATATAGACTATCAAGAAATGGCAAAGCATCAAAAGGTCGATACGGAGCTACAAAAGCTTTTGCAGTCTAAGGAAACGAAATTATTATTCCAAAACATCCCCATAAACAACAAGGACACCTCAACAGGTAAAACTCGCCCTTTTGTACCTTTCGGTATGAGACGAAATATTTTTGAGAAAAAACAGACAACTGTAAAACCGTCTAAACCTGCAGCAGAGCAAGCACCATTCAAACTACCTGCAACAAGCAACACTTCAAATCAAAGTTCAGCAGCAGCACAAACTACAACAAGATCAGGAAGAAGAGTACATCGGCCAGATAGGTATGTAGCTACCACCATATTTATCTAGACCAAATCCTGAGACTACTCTTATAACACATAAAAATCCTATTTTATTTTGATTACTATTTTTTTTTATTGGCCCCACGGATCATCATTATGCTTACATTTTAACTTTATACAATTCATTAATGTTAAATATACACTTGTATATACATGATATGAAACGTTTTAACACACAAGCTGTTATTACAATTTTACGCTTACTCATCATATTGAGTTGTACTTTTATTTTAAAAACAGTTCCGTTCTTTATCTCTTTGTCGAACATAGATGTTAATCCAATTTTTTTTTTGGTACATAAAAACATCAATGTTCTGGATGGGAGCTTATGTGGCAAGCCCATTTGGCCACTGTATCATCTGTCTATTCATTGTAACTTAGACTCTTAATTCACTATGTTAATTTCGGTGTGTTTGATCGAATGCGTGTCTGTACATTAACTTTTAAACTATTTTCCTATTGGTTTCAACGTGCAGATAATCGATAATTTATCTACACCCGATTAACCCTCAAATATATATGGATTTTTAACAAACTCACTCACTCTCTCTGTTCCCATCGTGTGCTTGCTCACAATACGCTTGTGGATTATCATTATTCATTAATAATAAACTATCTCCATAACTGGTGTTCAGGCTTCTTAATAATCTCGAGTAAATCCATAATTCTACTAGGAGATTAAGCCTACCTTAAATACTCAGTTACGGAATATTATTATTTGGAGTCAGATATTAAGGACATTACCCTTAACATATTGGTTAGCTGCCGCCTCAACAAGGTACAACGAAGAGTTCAAAGTTATACCATTTGGTTGAAAATATACACTTCATTTAACAATCACAATCACATTACAGTCACAATCTCACCAAGTACGCACACACACATACAGGAACAAACCTAAAACTTTCAAGTGTCATTGTGAGCATAATAACTTCATTAAATCACACCTTAAATTCGGAAACCAATATCACAAAAACTAGCTGATAAATATCTCCCAGTTTTTTATTTAAATCTATGACAGCGTATACATAGTTGTCAGGGCAATAAGTAGCAATAGTAATGTTTCGTTGTAAAGGCTAGAAAGTTCAATAAAGTGTAAAATTATGTGTGAAACTATGTTACTATTTTATGGTTTCTTCGGTCGCCACCTACCCCAATCACTATCACTATTGTTCTCTACAATATTTCACTACACTGTCAAGAAATATGACCTATTTCTAAGTATTTATAAAGACACTGTGATTATCACCATTGTGTTCATTAAAAATATCATTTTTTAAGATGGAGTAGAGTACTGTACAAACGGTACATATTCTACCATAAAATAATAAACTCATCCACTTAAAACTACAGACGTAAACTGTATTCCTTCTTGGTTTAATAGATCCACAATATATGAGTGATCTTCTGAACTAATAAAGCCCATATCTAATCGATAAGTTCTGAAAAGACTTATCGCATATTCTACTGTTACCCGTTAGTTCAAACATAATCATCTTATAAATGCAAGCGATATCGAAGCATCCTTCCAAACAGTTTACAATTATAGTAAGTTCTTTATTCAGTACGATATGTTTGATTACAATTAAAAATTCGCAATACAAAACAGACATTACCGAAATATATTCCGCTTGAACATACATATGATAAGTAATCCTTTTTAAAAACACCATAAAGTATAATTGAAGAGCGTTTATCCCCCCATTTAGCTCCTGTCATAAAAGTTCTTGATCATTTTCACTACACTTATTATGTTTAATGTATGAAAATTCATGTATTCTCCTTACTTTTATCGAAGAATATTCAAGAAAGGAAATATACCAATCATTTTAGTAATTCCGTTTTTACTTTAAAGTATTTAGCATCATGAAAGGTTGTGTGCTATTTATGGAATTACGTGATTAGATTCTGTGATTTTTGAAAAAACCATTTCATCGAAACAAGTATAATGTAGGAACATTTACACGGTTTTAAGATAAGTACCTTAAAAGCCTAGAAAGTTGGTATCCCTAAGAATTAATATTAAGTATTGGTAGTAAAACAATATGAAAACTTAAGCAGTCGTTTATAAAAATCACCATAACCGTCTGAGTCGCTTACGCCATGAAACTGCCCCAAATATAACGTATAATTTGAGGATACTGATGAACTTCAGAGTTTAAATTATATTTGTCTTACTAGACAACTATTGAGAAGCATGAAACACTAAAGTGGGAAATATAAGCCAGTGGATAATAATTCAGTGGTCTCAAGTTTATTTGAAGGACCTAAAGATCTTGGGTTCGATCGTTGGTGTTGTCGTGGATGCGCTTTGTTCAAGAGTCACATACTAGAAAGAGACAATTATATAGTGCTTCTTAGTTATCCAATTGTTTCCAAATTAATGTCAGTACGTAACGAATACTACCTACAAAACTTTGACAACGTTAACTGTCTGACAATTAACAAAAATATGATGAAGAAAAAACAATTTTGCATTAATCTTGATTTCCGCCTTCCTGATAAATCTTTTTCCATGACAACTGATGTGAGTGCATTCACAAGTAAACCTTGTCACTAATTCGTATATTGGTCACGTCTCATAAACTAAGAGAAACCTTTTCTAGTTTACTTAGACAGCCATTAATTCATCATTATATATTAAATGATGTCGATTAAAATTATGAACCAATCTAAGTTAGGTCACCATTAAAAACCTGGAACCCCTGAGTGACATTTTCATCCTAGTGTGTACCCACAATTCTGCACGCGAAAATCGAACCGAGGGCCTTTGTTCGCATGCGAAAGCTTAACTTCTAGACCACTGAACTGGTATGCATGATCGTGGGTGCGCACTGCATAGTAGCCTCGCAGTAAGGCGAAACGGCTGTTCATCATTTCCATAACTTTTAACAGTCTCAACAATTTCATACTGATAAATAATTTTTCTTGTAATACACCTAGGTCTCTATTCATTCCACGAAATAAACAGAAAGAAGTGTATTTAGGCATTTTTTTCACTCATAAACTACCGACAGTATGTGATCCAATACAGAATCCAACATTTAATCCACGTAGAATTTTTCCTTAATTAAAACCAAAACAAATTGAAACATTATGTCCGTAGTTTTGTCAAATAGAAGGAGAACAAGCTTATAAACAGATTCAACTACTAATCGATTTTTTAAAGTTTATTTACTATACAAGATCCCACAAGGTTCTTCTAAAAAGCTTAATTATCAACAATCTTTAACAATCTATATCAAATCAATATTCGAATTCTGATAAAGAGCCCATTTTTATCAGTATTGTAAAATATTGATCAAAATCTATTCTTAACCTGGATACCGTTTCCCAGTTTAGTTATCATTAATAATCTAAACCAAAAAATTCCGAAAAAAAAGGAGAATAAACCAGAAACAAATGATTAAAATTCTACTAGTGATATTAAAAATCTCTTAAAAACGATAACTTCATAGAGCTTTTAAAACCAACTTCACTGTATGTGTATGTACGTACATATATATGTATGTATTGCGTGTATTTGTGACTTTCTTTATACGTTACACAAAGATTTTGAATAGAGATTCTATAATGACATATCAAAAGAAGAAAAATAGCAACAATCGATTATAATTTATTTAACTTTGTCAAAGATGGTGAAAGAACCTCTGTTTATTTTTTCCCAGAAAATAAAAACATTCAAACTTGTAAGTACTCCGATTGGTTGAACTCTGCCTATAGCTCTTCCTTAGTTATTACCGATCCGAAACCCGGATAAAGGAGGAGGATTGGGTATAGAGTTAGCGACCCCATCCCATAGAAAACTAGCTCGCTAAAAAAACTCTAATCGATTGGTTGATTAAAAAAATATCGCAATAATTAAGTGAGAAGTCGTTACCAGTGGAGTTCAACCAGGTCGGTTGTGAGATAGTAACTCACTGAAAACAATGGTGTACGGTGGCACAACTTCGTGGATTAGTTGAAGTTAGACATTAACACTGTTGGATGCCAGCCAGCTCAGTGGTCTGTTTGGTTAAGCGCTCACGCGTGAGACTGATAGATCCTGGGTTCAAATCTCGTGGGTGGCAGGATCGTGTATGTGAGGAGTCCCACAATAGGACGAAACGGTCGTCCAGTGCTTCCAGGTTTTCCATGGTGATCTAGCTTCAATTGACTCATGATTTCAACAAGTGAAATTTCTAATAAAAAAATCTCCACAAAACCCATTCTGATAATTAAGTTTATATTTTCCTATAAAATAAAAACCAATAATAACCGAGTATGTAGATCAGTTAAAAACAGTTTGTTTTCATCTAAATAGCGGTTTTTTTGAATACATATATGTAAAGCATAAATAGTTCTTAAGAAAACATCAGATCCAGGTTAAAAGTATAATGTCAAAGGGACCAAAACAAAACAACATTATTTAGATAAAATTTGTATTGATTGTAATCAACTAGAGATTTCTGAGGAAACAAAATGAAAAGAACATTTTGATGAAAATGCTATAGGCTATATATAACCTAGACCTTGTGAAATAATATAAATAAACTCCACTTCACTAGTCATAAGTGGTTGAAAAAGTCATCAAATCAAGATAGAAATACTTAACTTATATTATCTGATTGGATTGTTGACAGTTGAGAATTCTATTGGAATATAATTAATGATTCATTAGGTCATTTTAGAATGGAAAATAAAAGAAACAATTTAAAAACAAGTATGATATCATTTTGCTATCTAATGTCTTATGTTGATTGGAAATATAACTTTAGTAGTTGGTTGACATACCAATCTCATTTGCCGCTTCTGAACAATGTTATTTACATTTAGATTTTCAATGTACCTGAAATTGATTCCTTCCCTTTGCCTTTCACCTTGTGAATTTTTTCGCTCATTATTGTTCCATTATGAGGTATGGGATCTTGGACTGTTATGAACTTGTGAAAATACATGAGTGGATAACTGATTAAATGGTATAATTCCCAATTGATGACAATTGATAAGGCTGAATTAAATGCAAATTCTGGGCCTATAACCATTAGTTTAACAACTGATTGGCATTATAATTTTCATGATAGTCAGAAACTACAAATTAACATGTATTGAGTTAGTTGTCCACTGTTAAAGAGTTCAAAAACTACAAGTAAACAGACATTCAACGAGTGAGCAGAGAGTCTTTATCAATCAAGAGTATGTCCCAGCAAAAGTAATGAAGCCTTTTAGATTATAACGGTCTTCAGTAGTCTATTTGTTCTCCAGGACTCAGGCCCAGTTTATCGATCGTACTATTGTGGAAATATCGTTACAAAGAATCAGAAATTTGATTGTGTGAATTTGTTCACGATAAGAATTTGTCTCTTAATCATACTCATCGCTATAAAGATTTTTATAAAAATCCTTCCTCTCCCACAAAACTTAAGTTAATCGCTTTTACAGATGATTTAAAGAGTTTAAGGATTACCATCCTTGTAACCATATTTATATAAAGAAATTATGTATAAAAATCGTTATCCATCTAAGCATTTCTACTTTACCAACCTACTTACTATTCAAGGAATCACTAAGAAAATGATTTTCTTACCGGTTTACAAAATTTTTCAAGAAAAAAAAAGTGAGTACTTGATACATTTAACACTGTCAT